CCTAAAGTCTTGCAACTGCATCTGACATCTTACCAAAAATACTTTGAAATTCTCTCGACCTCCCTCTCAATGGATGCCTCTTCGGACTCAATCATGTCCCTCAGGCCTAAAACCCCATCGCGTCCAATTTCCACCTAATCAATCATGACCGGATAACCGGAGAACCACAAGCGTCATTCGCTACGAACCATGGTACTCAGCCCATGACATCTCTTCTCAATCTGCTACGATGTATGGTAATCGAACCATAACATCACCCCTCAATCTGCTAAGATGCATGGTACCCGAAACATGACATCACTCCTCAATCCGCTATGATGCATGGCACTCGAACCATGACATCACTCCTCAATCTGCTCCGATGTATGGTACTCAAACCATAACATCACTCCTCAATCTGCTCCAATGTATAGTACTCGAACCATAACATCACTCCTCAATCTACTACATAGAACCTTCAGGATACTCCCTGTATCAAGCATGGGTCCTCTGCTTTCGGTAGTACATGCCCATATTACCTGCCACATCTACCCATACTTTCCACACGGACCATCCCAGAGCTCCTAAGTAGCTACTCAACCTTATCGTTCACTAACACCGTCATGCGTGCTCGCTCCTCAGCAAAAGGCTCTACTCTTCCAGCATACTCATCTGACTAAGGTTACTCCATAGGCTCTTCCTACGTTCTCACACTTCTCTGCCATCAGCTACTGAAGAGCTCCTAATGATGCTAGCCATCTACCTCCTTCATATCATCATATTCACTTAGTAGCTGACCCCCATCATCGAGAGTTCCACAAAGCACGAAGCAAACAGCATTCGGGCATCGAAGCATCTACTTCAGCACGTAAAACCTCCTTATGTTATTATCCACTCGCTTTCCTCATACTCGAAGGATATCACCGAACTCTAACAACTTTGCCCCACATGGCATCTGGCTACCCTCTCGGCATGCTCCTCCTATGCTCATATAGATATCTCTTCTAGATTACTCCTCTACTCGAATCCCCTAAAAGGATTCCTGTTGGACACTCTTACTCAGCACATACTCGAAAGCACATCACATATAACAACAACTCCTAGGCCAAGGCATTACGAATTAGGCCACTATAGTCCTAAAATATGAAATACCTAGCCTATCTCTAGTATGCATAATATCTCATAAAATGTCTCATAAATATCTCATAACACAAAAGTAAGGGTATTTTTGGAAATCACCATTCGGGCTCTGGCTGATTGTACACACTACTCTTTCTTGTTTTCTCTTTGAACTCTTACTCGCTTTAGAAAAATCATTTATTTGAAAACTTTTCTCAATTCCTCAGTTTCAGTCCAGATTTACCCGAAGGTGCATCCGAATCCCTCAAACCAAGGCTTTGATACCAACATGTAACACCGAAATTTTTCAAAACTAAAATTTTCATTTCAAATCGCTTAATCCTAAAACACTTTTCGTAAAAATCTCATTTTGGTTACATTACAAAGCAAAACTCCATATTCAATTAAATAATAATCCAGGATCCTCAAAAACATAATTCTTCCTCTGGTGTGTACAATCGAGCCGGTGTCGTCCCGTGATCCTGAGAGAAACCTGAAACACATAACACATAACATAGTAAGCACGAAGCTTAGTGAGTTCCCCAAAATACCACATATAACACATATTAGCCACTCGAGGCTATAACTCTGTGGGCCCTTTGGCCCTAACTCTGTGGACACTCTGGTCCTAACTCTGTGGACCTTCCAGTCCTAACTCTGGCATACACATAGCATAAATCACATAGAAATAATGTAGTGCAACACATCACATACATAGCGTACAAGATACTCTGTCACATAACTCTAATTACCACTCAAGGTAAAGTATAGAGAGAAGACTCACCTGGAAAGCATAAAGCGGTTATCTTTACACTTGAATCTCGAACTCGCCACTGCCTAACACATAAGGCAAATATCTCTAATTAACACTCGAAGTCTCAACTCTAATTAAACCGATGATTACTCTTTCCCTCTCTAATCTGGTAGTGGGTAAAAACCATTTTACCCCTCCAAAGTCTCGATTACTTATGTTGACCAAACCCCAAAGTCAACACAAGTCAACTCAAGTCAACGTTCAACTCTGACCAGACTCGTTGAGTACACAAGGGTGACTCTGCGAGTCCATGCGTGTCTTCTGACTCCTCCAAGGCCTCACTTGACTCGTCAAGTGAACCTTCCACTCGACGGGTTTCCACTAGATTCGAATCGCGGGGCAACCCGACTCGACTCGTCGAGTCTTCCCATGGACTCGGCGAGTTGCTCCCATGACAACACTTATCCGACCTTCTGAGGTCAGATCTGCTCCTCTAATCCATAGATCTGGCTTCCTTACGACCAATAACCACGTAAAGGTCGAGGCTTGTCATACATGCAAAGCTCACAAGGCTTCCTTGAGAAATGGCTCCTAAAATGGCATCAAAGTCACATTCCCTCAATGAACCAACATAAAGCTTATAGAATAAGGCTCTATGGACCTCTATAGGTCCAGATCTGGGACCTCTCACACAAAGGGACCCTATACTCATCACTACAAGCCATAAAAAGGTGTAAAAACCCTAAAATAACCAATCTTAACCAAAACAGAAAAGGGAATTCGATTTGATACCTCTACAGTGAAGATACGAGCTCAAGAACTTTGAATCAACAACTTCCTTGACCTCCCTTTGCTGGAAATGACTTCTCCCTTGCAAAATCACACCAAGAATGCTCAAAAGGGCATTATCTCTCTCACTCTTCGCTCAAGCTCTCTAGAGTATCTCTCTCTGGATTAGTAGCCACACAAGAGGGCTATAAGGTCCTTTAAATAGGGATCAAACCCAGACAATTAGGGTTTCCCTTAACAACGCTAACTAGGCGAGTCCAGATACCCGACTCGTCAAGCCCCTTCATTAAACAAGTCACAAAATCGCGATCCTACTCGACGAGTTGAGGCGTCAACTTGCCGAGACTCTTCATATCCCAAAATAAAATACTCAAATTCCCAAGCCTGGATATTCGGATGTTACAAAACATAACAAGGTATCTTTTTTATTTATTGCCTTTTATTCCTCACCAAATGCCCTTTATCTAATATTTGGAACTGACTTATATTTATGGTTGAGTGATTTGTAAGTGATTTTTTGGAAAATTATGTTTTATCTCAGATTGGACATTTTCCTTCCTAAAAACTCTTGTCATTGAGGAAAAATTAATTGAAATGTTGTTATGCTGATACTGAGGTTTGCATTTACTTTTCTGCCACATTTTTCCCAGGCTTCCAGTTTTAGGTGATTTTATGTCTGGCTTTTTGCCCTAAGTTGGAGATCATCTCAGAGTTATGATTCCAATATGTGGTTTCTATAGTGATTGATTGCACACAAAATCCTAAGATGATGTTGTTTTGAGTGACGGAAAAAGGTATTTGTTTCTCATGGCTCCTGTTTTATTCAGTCGAATGATTAACATAACTTGAAGTCACTTTTTCATTAAGCATATGGGTGTGGCCTTTTTATCTTAATTACCCTTCATCTTTCCACAGATTTACATATTGAGTTGTATGTACAGGTGTTGAATTAAATAGTCTTTTACCACCTACACTCAGATCTCTTTTAACTTCTTGTATAAATATTTTTTATTTATTCTTTCATTTTATTTTGATCATTACATTTGGGCCATGTGTTGCAATTTCATCATGTTAACATAAACACAATTCATAGTTTACTTTAGTATAAAAAATTTAAAGTTACTATTAAATTACTTTAGATATTGACATTTAAGTAAATGCATTTTAATTTTTTTAGCGTCCAAGATCATTTGCCGAATCCTATAGTCGAGAAGTCAATCAATGGTTATTTGACCAATTACGGGTGTATGGAACAATGTCAGCCTTATGAATTTTATGAAAGGATTTAATAGATAAACTCAATTTTTATCAAATCAAGCTATTAATGTTTTTGTTGATTAATTCATCTTCGATTGATGATAAAAAGAGTTATGTGAGAATGATCTGTGATGAATTATGCAGCAAGTCTTAAAAAAAAGCTATCTGAGAATGAGAATGTTTTGGGTGAAGCATCGCCACGCATCAACAAGTCTTAAAACTGCCACATCATGTATCCCAATGTTCCAATGGGAATCTCTCTCTCTCTCTCTCTCTCTCTCTCTATATATATATATATATATATATATATATATATATATATATATATGTCTTATTAGAGGTTGAATATGGGTAAGCCTTTTGTTGTCTAACATATTACAGTTGACTTTATTTTTATGGTTGATTGGTTTTCCATATTCATTATGGAGAAACAAACTAAATGGAGGGTAGACTTTATTTTTATGGTTGATTGGTTTTCCATATTCATTATGGAGAAACAAACTAAATGGAGGGTAGACTGTCAATGAATGTTTACAAACAGTCTTGCAAAATATATGAATCCAACCATGGTTTAATTGTTGCAAAATAAAACTATACTTCCATTCTCTTTTTCGTCTTCATGATTTGACATTGAAAATCCATGCATTAAAGCAGAAAATCTTCACCTTTTGGTTATTAGCACATTATACTTTAGATTATAGAAAAAAACCATTACACTCCATGGGTCGTGCTTAGCACGAACCTAAAACTTTTCATATATATATATATATATATATATATATATATATATATATATATATATATATATATATATATATATATATATATATATATATCCATAAAATAACTTTTTCCATGTAAAATGAGTTTTAGTGAACATGACTCACGGGGCTCCACAAACTTCCATGTTTCTTAGTCGATATATATAGATGACATAAAAATTAAGAATCCTACAATAAAAGCATCGTCGAATACGACTCACGTGACCTCCCCAAACTTCCATGTGGCAATACACATCCATCTATCTCTTTTTAATCAACTCAAACACAGCATAGCTACCTCCAAACACCCACTTTGAGAGAAATAAAAACCAGCCACCGCCATGTCCACCGAACCACGGCCCAACAACCGCCGATTGGCACTTTTTCCATTACCATTTCAAGGCCACATCAACCCCATGCTTCAATTAGCAAACATACTTCACACAAAAGGCTTCAAGATTACCATCATTCACACCCATTTCAACTCGCCAAACCAATCAAACTACCCACAATTCACCTTCAAATCTATCTCAGACGGCTTGTCGGAATCCAAAAACATGAATTTGAATCTGGATACTCCTGATTCTATCATCAACTTCTTAAACAAAAGCTGCATCAATCCGTTGAGGGATTGTTTAGTAAAGTTACAAGAAGAGGAGCCAATCGCATGCTTGATCTCAGATGCGCTATGGCACTTCTCTCAATCAGTTGCAGACAGTCTTAATCTCCCAAGAATCGTTTTACGAACCAGCAGCATGTCCTGCATCCTTGTTTACTCAGCCTTGCTTCCTCATATTAAAAACTGCTACCTCAAAACCACAACTGAAGAAGATCCGATCCCAGACCTTTCACCGATCACAGAAAAAGACATGCTAAAGATTTTTACCGACGATTGTAAGGAGGGAGAGCTCGAGTTAATCTTTAGCATGATCAAAACTATAAAAGCGGCTTCTGGAATCATATGGAACACCTTCAAAGAACTCGAAGAACCTGCATTTTGTGCCATAACCCAAAATTTATGTATTCCCAGTTTCCCACTTGGTCCGTTTCATAAGTATTTCCCAGCATCCTCTAGCAGCTTACTAGAACAAGATCGAAGCGTTATGTTATGGTTAGATCTGCAACCAGTTAGGTCTGTAGTATATGTGAGTTTTGGGAGTATTGCTCAAATGGGTAAAGCCGAGTTCAGCGATATGGCTAGGGGGGCTTGCAAAGAGTAAGCAACGGTTCCTATGGGTGGTTCGGCCTGGTTCGGTTTCAGGGTCTGAATGGCTCCAGTCTTTGCCTAAAGGGTTTATAGAGGAAGTAGGTGAAAGGGGGTGTGTTGTAAAGTGGGCTCCTCAACAAGAGTATTAGCTCATCCAGCCATAGGAGGGTTTTGGACTCATAATGGATGGAACTCGACATTGGAGAGCATCTGTGAAGGTGTTCCGATGATCTGTTCACCTTGTTCTTATGATCAACCGATAAATGCTAGATACGTAACAGACGTTTGGAGAGTAGGAGTGATGTTGGAAAACGGGAAGGAGGAGGAGTTTGGAAGAGTGATGAAAAGTGTAATTATGGAGGAAGAAGGAAGTGAGATGAGACAGAGATCTAAATATCTTCAGGAGAAGGTGAATCTTTCTATGGAGAAAGGTGGTTCTGCATACGAATCACTGGAGAATTTAGTTGACTTCATCGTTTCTCTATAATATATCCATCTACTATTCTTTACTACATTTTATCATGTATTTATGTTGGTTCTATTGTTTATTTTAATCGGTTTAAATAAAACACATCCTTGCTTTTTTTTTTTTGAACGGACACATCCTTGCTGACAGTTAAAAA